TGGCCGACCTCTTCGTCACCGACGGCAACTTCGAGGCAGTGGTGCGCGCCTTGCGCCCGGGCCCCGCGCCACTGCGCCTGCGCTGCCTGACCTTCCGCGGCGACAGTTTGCGGCCGGGGCAGCTGCTGCAGGTGCTGCGCCTAGCGGGCCCTGGAGTGCTGCGGTCGCTGCAGGTGGTGCACAACGTGCGGTTGCACGCTGGCCACGTGGAGCAGCTGCTGGCGCACGTGCGCTTTCCACGGCTGACTGCGCTCACGCTGCCCGCCAAGGCCTTCGACCCGCCGCGCGCGCGGGCCCCCACCCCCGATGGCCGGGAACCCTACCTGGCCACCATCGCCATGGCGCTCAGCAAGATGACGCAGCTCACGGAGCTAAGCCTGGCCTTCTCCACCCTGACCGGCAAGATCCCACAGCTGCTTGGGTGAGTAGGGGTGGGGTGGGGCCAGGGTGGGAGGTGGGGATTGGGACCTGGCTAGTGTTGGGCGGTAAATTAGTGGGGCAACTCCCAGCAAGCCCTCTCAGAGCCACAGTGGAAGAGTGGGCCTGTGGGTAACAGGGAAGGCAAAGCAGGCCCTTCAACCAGTAGGAAACCAGGCTTTGGGGATCACCCAGGACAGGGCAGGCAGGTTACCCTCTACACTAGGTGGTTTCCGGACATCACCTCTGCTGTGGGTCAGGAACCCCGGCACAGTGCGGTGCTCAGGGGTCTCCTCTACAGGGTCTCTTCGAGCTCACCAGCTCCACTGTTGGCTGTGGGGCTTCAGATCCTCACTAGGAGGCCTGCCCCAGTCCCCACCACACAGGGCAGTGATGCCAGGGAGGAAGGGGACATGACGGGTCAGGGAGCCCAGAATGGACGTTGTGGGCTTTGACACCTGAGCTTGAAATGACAGCTGGTCCCCACCTCTCTTGCCTGCCCTCTGGTTCAAAAGCCAGCCACCAGGCCCAGCCTACAGAGCAGGGTGGCACACAGAGGTGCAGCACCAGGAAGGCTCCTGTGGGCCACAGTACATATAAAATCTTCCGACTCCGTTTCGTTTTTGGAACGGTGGGTTGAAGGCACCCGTCGGGCCTGTGGGGAGCCCTCAGCTACTTTTATCCAAAGAGCACCCAGGGACAAGGACACACATACCTGGTGAGTCACACCCCAGCAGAGAACCCAGAGGTGCACACCCCTGGTTGGGCAGAGTGGGAGGAGCGGCAATCAAGGTGGGCAGAGGAAAGTCCCCAGGGGCCTGGAGCCCCACCCTGCACTTGAGGTGCTCAGGCTAGGCAGGGCCTTAGGAACACCCTTGAGCCAAGGCTCGCTCACCCCCATTGTGTCAGTCAGCTCTGACTACTTATGACCCTCATAGGGCTTCCAGGCTTGTCAGTCTGTACAAGAGCAGGCCCTTAAGGCAGCTGGTGTGTTTGAACCTGACCTCACGGTGAGCAGGAAGACAATGTACAGACTCCAGCCTAGACTGCAGTTTGCTGGCTCCAGGGCTGGGTAACCAGCGGTAGATCGGGCCCCTCCCCGGAACCACCCCCTCACCTGTGCTGCCCCTCCCCCTTTGCCTGCAGGTCCCTGCAGACCCCACTGCGGACCCTGGACCTGGCCAACTGCGCCCTGAACCACGTGGACATGGCCTTCTTGGCCGACTGCCTCCATGCCGCCCACCTGGAGGTGCTGGACCTCAGTGGCCACGAGCTGGTCAGCCTGTACCCAGCCACCTTCTTCCAGCTGCTGGGCCGCGCCGCACCCTCGCTGCGAGCCCTCACCTTGGAGGAGTGTGGCCTCGGGGACGAGCACGTGGGCAGGCTGGCACTGGGCCTCAGTGCCTGCCTCCAGCTGCAGGAGCTCCGGTTACTGGGGAACCCACTGTCAGCCACTGCCCTGCGGCGCCTCTTTGGCTGCCTCTGCCAGCTCCCAGAGCTGCGCTGCGTGGAATTCCCAGTACCCACGGACTGCTACCCCGAAGGCGCCACCTACCCACTGGATGGGCCAGCTGTGGCCAAGTTCGACCAGCAGAAGTACGAGGAGGTGGCTGGGGAGCTGCGGGCGGTGCTGCTGCAGGCAGGCCGGGAAGACATCCAGACCTGCACACCTCTCTTCGGGACCTTCGACCCGGATGTCCAGGAGACGGGCCCCGAGCTGGGGGCCTTCCTGCTGCAAGCCCTCAAGAGCACCCTGGAGAAGTTCTGCAGCACCCTGGAGCAGATGGAGTAGGGCCGGCCCTGGAAGTGGGCAGCGAGCCCGCGTCAGCAGGACATACCTGGGGGGCGGACGGCGGGAGAGGGGCTGGGAGGGAGAGGGTGTCCTGCCTGACTGTCCCCTTCTGTCTGGCACTGGTGTGGGTCCTGTGGGGCTGGTATCCTGGCTGCCTCTTCCTGCTCCGCCCCGGGCAGCAGGGTGGGCAGCGTTCCTCCAATGGTGGTGGTGGAAGGGCACTGGAGTCTGCTGGTTCCAGTCCTTGGGGATCCACACTGTCAGCTGCCTTGAAGGGGTGGGCTCACAGCCCGGGGTCCTTTGTGGGGTAGGGGTAGCAGTATGTCCTGGCGGGGTGAAGAAGACATGTGGACTTGATTTCCACCGAGATCAGAGCTACCCAGTGGCTAGGCATCCACGTAACTAAACGCTCACCCAGCAGGGTTCCCTCATTCCAGCACCCCCAGAATTGGTGTGAGTTGTCAGGTCTTCAGAAACCACACTTGGGATACACGTAAAGCACACAGCAGCTCCACAGGATCTGCATGTGTGATTCAGAGACACAGTGACACAGCACATATATGTGAGACTCAGACGGGATCACACACTGACACACAGGATTCAGAGACACAATGACACAGCACATACATGTGAGATTTGGTTCAGCAACGGGATCACACATACACACATGTGATTCAGATGCAATGATACATACAAGTGAGATTAGATTCAGAGACGGGATTTCACAATACACACACGTGGCATTAGATTCAGATGGGATTACATGTACACATGATTCAGAGAAACAATGACATAACATACATGAGATTAGATTCAGATTACACAAACACGTTGACTCAGACGTGCAGACATGGAACGTACGCAGCTCAGAGACCAGATTACAGATAATACATGCATGACAGAACGATATGATACATGTGTGGGATTCAGAGACACAAAGACATGGCACTTACACAGATCTACAAGTGACTCAGAGGGTCACGTGGCACGTGTGATCCAGACACCCCATGACAGTCTTCGTGTTGTGCTAGCGTTCTCTCTTCTTTCCCAAGCACCCTACTCCCACTCCCCCAGCCGCAGTGTCCCAGCAAACTCGCCCCCACCTCCAATGTCCGCTCGTTGTTGGTTTCTGTGTATACCTGTCCCCACATCTGTAAGTCTGCCTATGGCTGGTGTGTGTTATAATCCAGTGTCTGACTCAGCATGTGGCACGTGTACCTTTCTCTGCAGCAAACCCCAGAAGCACTCAGCGGCCTTTACCATAATACAGTAGCAACGAGAACAAGTCATGGTTTTGAGTCAAGTAGCTGTCTGCTATTATGAATGCTCTCATCCCCAGTGGCGGGAGGGAGAGGAGCTGCGGAACTGCTGTGCCGTGGTGGCTGGGAGACACTGTCACGTGCAGACCTTACAGAGTGAGGGTCCCCTTGGCCTCATGTTGTGGAGTGGGGGTTCCATTTCCTCCCCAGCCACCTGCCCTCACTGTGTCTGCAAAGCATGCTCCTCGGAGGTGCCCCTGTCCTCCCTCCTGCCCCGGCACTTTCACAAGGGGTGTAAGCTGGCACCTGGAGGTAGGAAAGAATGGGCGGACTGTCACGATCTTGGCACTGGCTTGGTGACTGACCCCAGAACTGTGCTGGCACACAAAGGCCTATCCATCCACCAGCTTGCCTATCACAGATGGGCATCTGCGAGGGCAGTGGACCGCAGGCTAGCTGGGTGCATAGAACACGGCACCCGAAGTGCCTTTCAGAAGCAGGCTGGCATCCTCCACGAGTCACATAGGCCGGCATGAATAACAAGGTGGTTTGGCTGGAGCCACCCAGACCATGAGGGCTGGCCTTGTTCTGTCGTGGTTTCAGCTGTGAGCCCGCTGCTCGGGCAAGGGTGCCAATGCCAGCCTGGTGCTCCTAGTCCTGGAATTTATACCAATCAGACCACCAGTGAGTGCGGCTAGCTTCACTGTTCTGCTGCCTAGTGGGAGCCAGGAAACAAGCAGCGAGCAAGGGCTGGGTGGGGCAGGTGGGTCTGGGAAAGGGCTTGGGGTTGGCAAGTAGCCTCTTGCCTTGCTCGGCCTTCCTCACCCCACAGGGAGGCAGCAGATGCACTGGATGCCACCCCCAAGAGCATGCTGGCCTGGAGTTAGGGAAGGGGGTGTGCGCCAAGGGAGGAAAGTACTGTCCTCCCCAGCTAGATCTTCTCAGCACGCTGGCAGCCGGGCACCCTGGGAAAGCATGGCTGGGTTCAGACCAGTGCCCTCCCTGCAGACATCTGTCCCGGGTTAAACCTGGTGGCCTCGGGGCTGAGTTCCCCTTCCACCACACACCCAGGGCTGCCAAGCTCAAAAGTCTGAGAGCTGTTAGTCCCTCTCTTAGTCCAGCTCCACCTGCATGCCTGCCCCTGGGTTCCTATCTCACAGACTTCTAATGAACCGAGAACTGTCAACTGCTTCACTGTATTTATATAAATGCATATAAATTGCAGCCTTCAGTATGGACAACAACTCAGTGTAAAGAAAGCCAAAATCTTAACAACTGGACCAATACGTAACGTGGAGAAAAGATTGACGATATCAAGGATTTCGTCTTGCTTGGATGCACAATCAATGTTCATAGAAGCAGTGGTCAAGAGATCAAACTCATTGCATTGGGTGAATCTGCTATACAAGATCTCTTTTTAAAGTGTTGACAAAACAAGGTGGGATAAATCTATAGTAGCTGGATTAATGGCTTATTGGGGGTATGGGAGGAGAAGTTGGAGGGACATGGGAGCTAACAGTGAGCACAAGGAGGAAGTACATGTTCTGCAACTGATTGTAGTGATGATTATACAACTCTTTCATATGACCAAACTGCTGAAGTGTGTGCTATGTGAATTATATGTCAATAAACTATTAAAAACAAACAAAGGAGGTTACTTTGAAGACTAAGATATGCCTGGCCCAAGCCACCGTATTTTCAGTTGCATGCATGTGAAAGTTGGACATTGAATAAGGAAGACCAAAGAAAAATTGATGCACCTGAATTATGGTGTTGGTGAGGAATACTGAAAATACCAGACTACCAATAGAACAAACAATTCTATCTTGGAATAATTAACAGCCAGAGTGCTCCTTAGAAGCAAGGATGTTGAGACTTTGTCTCCTACTTTGGACACATTGTCAGTAGAGACCTGTCCCTGGAGAAGGATGTCCTACTTAGTAAAGCAGTAGATGTTGTTAGGTACCATCGAGTCGGCTGACCCACAGTGACCCTGTGCACAACAGAACAATGCGCACTCCTGCACCATCCTCACAACTGTCCCAAAGCCTGAGACCAATAATGCAGCCACTGTGTCAGTCCACCTCACCAAGGACTTTCCTTTCTCACCGCCCTTCCGCTTTATCAAACGTGGACTAGAAGAGATCCCTATTTGTGCACATTCCAAAGAAAAGTGATCCAACAATGCTCAAAACTACAGAACGCTATCATGGATATAGCACGCAAATAAAACCCTTTGCTTAAGATCCTCCAACATCAGTTGCAGCAGCACGTGGACTGGGAACTGCTGTTAGTCTACCCTGAACCTACACAGAAGCAATGAACGGTCTCTACCGGTCAGCCCCTGGTCTGGTTTTAGCTGCTGATATTGGGTCTGCTCCATTGTGTATTGCCATAGATGTCATTGATTTGATTTCTGTGTTCCATCTGGTGAAGTCCCTGTGCAGTCGCCTTTTATGTTGCTGAAAAAAGGTACAGTAGAAGAGCAGTAAAAAAGAGGGCAGCCCTGACAAAATGGATTGACACATGGCTGTAACAATGGACGAGAACCACTGTGAGGATGGTGCAGGACTGAGCAGTGTTTAGTTCTGTTTTGAATAGGGTCACTGTGAGTCAGAATCGATTGAATGGCACCTAACAACATACACATGAGTTCTGATTTACAGAGAAATGTAGCAATGACTTTTATCATATGTAGAAATGACAACCTAACAGCTCAGAGATGCAAATAGGACCAACCTGCACCTGGCTACACAGATCCAGCAGACCCACCTCTGAGGTGGTCAACCGATGCTCTGACTGGATGTCCGTTCTATGACATCTGGCCCCTGGCTGAGCTGGCAGCTGATGCAGAACCAAGAGGCAGGTGCCTAAGCATGGTGGGGTGTGCCTGAAGCTCAGCCACCTGGTTGAAACAAGCACGGAACTTGGTCTTGTTTGCTACATATTGGTGCTTGGGCAGTGACACTAAGACAGGGGGCCTCACTGGGGTGCGGGGCAGGGGGGCTCCACCCTATACCTCAAAAAGACAATCTCAGTAAATGATGAACCCATCCATCTTTCCAAAATTCAAGACATAAATAAAGCCATTTAACACGCTTCACTACACGCACAGATTTTTAACATACACTCCCCAGGACCCCTGGTGGTGCTCTAGGTTGAGCACCGGGTGCTAACTGCACGGTTGGTTCAAATACACCAGCTGCTTCGTGGGAGAAAGACAAGGGGCTTTGATTTGACCCTGACGGGCAGAAAAGAGCTGCAGTGGACTTCCAGGACTGTCTGCCTTTAGCAGAATACACACACTGCCTCGGCTTTCTGAGCGGAGCAGCTGATGGCTCAACCTGCCCACCTTTAGTAGCCCAATACTTCACTCACTGCATCACCAGGGATTTTTATTTGACACCAAGTCTATTAAAAAACAAATCACACTGGTTTTCCACCAGTGATCAGTACAGCTGCCTGCACTGGGGCCCTGGCTTGTCTTCACAACTTATCAACCAAACCCACTGTCGTCACATTGAATGCAACTGCCCTGTCGGGTTTCCAGGCCGTCCCCTCTTCAAAGGATGCCACGTCTTTTCCTGCAGAATGCTGAGTGGGTCCCAACTGCCAGTCTTTCAATTAGCGCCCCACCACCTCACAAACCAAAGTTGATTCCATTGCAGTTGGAGGTACACAGTTTCTAACAGCGAGCTGTGTGAACCAGAACATCACCATTACATCACCGTGTTACAGATGCTTGTGTGTTTCTGAAGGGACAGAAGGGTGTGTGATATACTACGACAAGCATTACACCACCATCAGATAGAATCTACTTTGGGACATACTGGACTTACGGCAGACTTGGGAGTGGAACTTGCTCCTGACCCAGGGGGTGCTTGTGTGGCACCAGTGTCCGCTTGTGTGTGGATGATCTGAACAGATTTACCTAGCCACGCTGGACAACATAGAAGGGAGCGTTACTCAACTGACCTTGAAAAACCTCTCAGATGCCGACTGTTTTATGGAGAAGCAGTTGAAGGTGTTTCTCCAAGGACACACAACCAAGCACTGGAGTAACAGGAACTGACTCTAAGCCGGGGACTAGTCTACCAGAGGTCAAGAGACAAAGTCTGCTCTGGATTTGCGGAGACACCTGGTGGGACCAGATGAGGCTGACTATGACAGAAGGACACTAAGGGCCATGTCCTCTGGGGCCAGGAACTGAAGGCCCTGGCCCGTTTGGGCTGACTTCACCAGAGTCTGGTCTGAAGGACAATGAGGACTGAAAACAACACATGCACACAACTCGGCTAGGCCAGACTGGGAACGGGAACCAGGTTTCTCTGTGAGCTAAACACTTCCAACAGGCGGCCCAGTTCTTGTGCGGTGCACAGAGGGGCGGACTGGGAGAACATGGAAGGTGAGAGGTTGCCAACCTTGCTCAGGCCCTTCGTGGCCAAGGTCAGTCATCACCCATGTGCCTGGTTTCATGCCGGCTCCAACATGACCACCCGTGCGACCTGAGCCGGTAAGTGAACTTTCCTGACCTCAGCGCCAGCTTCCACACCTGCGAAATGAGCACAGCTGTGTGGTCATCACGTGCAATCACTGTGAGGGCCTGTCACTTCATGAGTGGACCTGCAAAACACATGGTAAGGGATCAATTCCTTCTGAACTTGTGACCAAAAGGGTCAAAGGCAAAGGTGCCACTTGGAGGACTAACGTGCACCCAGCCCAAGCCATGCCACCTTCCACTGCCTGAATGCATGCCGACTGCCCGGTGAGAGAGGAAGGTGAAGAACCAAGGCCTCTTGAGGGGTGCTGGACAGGAGCACCGAGCATGTTCCACACAAACCTGCCCTGCGAGGAGGGCACCCAGAACGCTTCCTCACCACAAGGGCACTCAGGTTTGCTGTGGGGGGCCAGGAAGGGCAGTGGCCAACAGGAAGCCCTTCCCAGCGATGGGCTGACAGCGGCTGCAACAGTGAAGGGTGTGAGGGCGGGCGCAGGGCCGGGCAAGGCCTCCTTCTGTTGCACACGGCTCTGCTGTCCGTCAGGATCCACTCCAGCGCCCCCAACAATGGCCTTGCCTCTGTGCAGTTTGAGATGGAAACCGAGGTAAAATGTTTACACTGTCTTGTCATGAGTAAAGGATTGTACAGATGAAAAATGGCATTTAAAGGGCAAGCATTTTTTATTATACATCATTGCTAATAAATATCTGCATACCAAGTACACACACAACCAAATTCCAAACAAATACTCCAGGGTACTGAATAAAACTGATTAAAAACAAACGAAACTTTAAAAACCATTTGAATTTTACTTGCTTTTTCCCTTTGGAAGAGTGAGAGGGGGACCGTTACTATTTTTCATTACTGTTCATAACCTAGCAACTTTTAAACGTAACTTTTGAAATTACATTAATTCACCGAAGAAACAATTTAGACAGTAATAAAAATAGATAAAGCATTTAGGGCGATATCAGTACTGTATTTTACTTAAAAAAACAAACAAAACGCTTACCCTAGAACTGAAAATGAGATTACACTGTTCTGCTAAGTGAACTCTTGTCAGCTTAAAAGACAAAAGGCCTGCTGAGAGGTGAGGAGGTCGGGAGAAAGCATCACCACAGAGGCCTGAGAGGTGTAGCATCCCCTAGACGAGCCTCCAGTCCTACTAAACGAAGCTCCACTCCACTGTTGTCTCACTTTTCCAATATGGCTTTCTCTATGCGCTTAAACTTCTTCAGTTCCACAATCAGCTCCCAGTACTTGAGGTAGAGCCACATGAGCCTCCCATTCTGGCGTCTGTTGGTGTTCCAGACCTCCCCACAGTGCGTGTCGTGTTTAAAGATGTCAGTCAGACCAGCCACCATGTCCAGGTCGGCAGCCACGGGGTCAACAGAGGCACGGACCAGCATGCTCTTCTCCAGGTCCAGCCGCCGGCGCCGGGGGAGCACCAGGCTGCAGTAGATGCTCTGCCTCTCGGTCAACGCCTCCTCAAAGTCCTGCAGGAGCAGCCGGGCCCTCCTCTGCCAGTCCTCTTCCCCTGCAAGGCAGCTCTGGTAGGCGCTCCTCAAGGGCTGCAGCTGCCCCTTCTCCTGCAGGACCCGAGCCCGCTCCTGTTCCAGAAGCTTCTTTTCTTCGACCAGCTTGCGGCCCTGAGAGATAAGGGCTTCCCGGTAACTTGTGGTTCTGTTTTGTTCCTTTTCAAGCTCCAGCGACAGCTGGGCGACGGCCCGGCGGTTTTCTGCGATCATGGTGTGGTACCTGGCCTCCAGATCCCGCTGGAAGGCAGCTGTTCTCTGGCGGAAAGCTTCTCGCTCCTTTTCGATTTCTTTCTGGGACTCCCTAGACCAGATCCAACCTGACACGAATACACAGGGAGAAAAATAATGCATCATGAAGTCAGAGCTGAAGTTCTGCAGTTCTGCAGTCTTAACTTGCCAAAAACAGCACATAAGGACAGCATTTCAGTACACACTCAGGACCTCTGAGGTACCAAAGACAATGCTCTGTATGCATGTCGTGCGCAAAGTTATCTCGGAATCAGGCAAGGGCTGCAAGCCTAAAAGACAAATATAATAAGGCTGAACATACAATTTCCCCTTAGTGTACTATGATTCCAGAACAATCTACTTTGCTTGTAAACCTAGCACTATGAGCCCCAGGGTTCCCAAGCAGAGAGGTACAATGTAAAAGTTGAATATGGGTCGGCTTCAGAGACTGTGAACTGCATCCCTGTCAGGAGTGTCCACCCCAGGCCTGCGCGCCTGCTTGGATGGAAACCTCGCGGCCGTGGGTCCATTCGACTCATAGGGACCCAGAAGACAGGGCAAAATTGGCCCTGCGGCTGTGGCTTTCTGAGGCTGCCAATCTTGGCAGAAACAGAAAGTCTCATCTTTCTCTCCCGGAAAGGCTGACAGGCTTGAACCACTGACTGTGGTTAGCAGCTCAGCACCGACCCACTAGGCCCCTGAGGCGTCTTTGCACTTGAACATGCAAACACAAGGTGGACCCGGGGTCCCACCTCCACCTTTCTTGCAGGGAGACCAGACACACCAGGGCAGGAATGAAGGGTGAGCCTGAAGACTGAAGAGCAGCCTGCCCGCCCTGGCCCTGCTGCTTGGAGAAACTGCTGACCAGGAGATCCCAGACAGAGACCTAGCCGGACATCTCAACGCCCATAAAAGCTTGCTGGATTCAGATGCTCTTTCTTTCCTAGGAGTTGCCAACTCTCTTACCGTCCTAGCAACGGGAGGCTGCACTTCACTAAGGTGAAGGGCCTTTCAGTGACGCAGTGAGACTGCTGCTGGAGAGAAGTACTGTAGCCACCGAAGAGTGCTGCCCTGAGGGACGAAGGCCTGTTCAAAAGCCCGAGTTGTGAACATCAACAAAGGCAACACTTTATGGCCTTCCAAAGCACCATCTACACCACGATCTCAAAACAAGGCCAGGCTGTTCTCTCCGATTCTCTTTCTACCAGTCAGCCTGGTAGCCCAGAAACAGCTCTCTCGAGGAGTTTAACAGCTGAATTTAAAGCTATTTTACACTGTATCTGACACCCTGCCTCCCTCCCCACCTTGGAAGCTTCCGGGCTTCTCTTCCTACCTTTCAGCTACTACCTATGCTGCCTCCCTCTCCTCCACCCACACCCTCGGTATGGCCGGTGCCATTCAGTCCATCTTCCTCCTGGTCCCATCAGGGTCCTGCGTCCTGGACATCAACTGTCTGGGCGTGTGAAAAAGCAGGTGCCCTGTTCTAGTCTCCCCTCCTTATACCTGCTCAACAGTTCTTCCCACGCACTTCCTTATCCTGCACATCACCACCATGATGTCAATTAGATTCCTTTAAAAAAAAAAAAGACCGCCTTTACTGGCTCCTCACCACCGCGCCCAGCCCTGTTCTGGAAGCGCCTACAAGGCCTGGCACTACAGCGTCCCGCGGGCATGCTCAGTCTTCTGCAGCATCTCCTGACAGAGTCTCCACGCCAAGTGCGTCTGCTACCGACTCCCGGGAGACATCAGCTATCATAACATGCGACACCTCTCGGGCACCTGCTCCTGGTGTGACTCCCGCACAGCCACCAGGCCAGCTCCTGGGCAGCCAACCATCCTGATGCCCTTCAAACGCTCCTTTCTTGAAGCCCTCCTGACTCTTCCCAAACGGAAATGGCCCTTCCCACCTCTCTTCTCCTCACACCCTTCTAAGGGCTTCACATGGTCCACGACGTGCTTTTTACTGGTCCGCTCCCAGCCAGGCAAACTCTCTGGAATGTTCTGGGTTTTGTTTGGGGTAATTGGCTGAGATACAATTATAAACCATGTTGAGACGGAGGGGGAAGAGTTTGGCTTTATGCTGGTACAGCTGGAGGTGGCAAGGACACATGCCAGCGAAAACGGCCTCCAGGGATGGGCAATGCAGGGGCTGTGTGTAGTCCAAGCCAAAATCCTAGCCCACCACCAGCGAGTCAAGTCTGACTCAGAGCGAGCAGGACAGAGTCCAACTGCTGAACAGAGTCGAAGAGACTGAACATCTGAAGGGAACAAGACGGCCTCGTCTTTCTCCCCCCAGGGGGCAGTTAGCGGGTTTGAACCACTAACCTGGCAGGTCAGCCGCCCAACAACACGTTCCACCACCAAGGCTGAAGAGAGAGACATCATGAAAATAGTAAATAAAATAAAGCAAGAGCAGTGATACCAAACCAAACTGTAGTCAGTTCCAGCTCCTCGCAACCTACGTGAATCAGAGCGGAACTATGCTTCGTGGGGTTTTCCGTGACTGAATCTTAGGAAGATATCAGATAAAGTAGATTTCAAAGCAAAGAAAACAGGCAGAAACACCTACCAGAAAGGGAGAACAATTGTAAATGTGTATGCACCAAACAACAGAGCCATAAAATGTATAAAGCAAAACAAATAAATCGAAAAGGAGTAATACACATCCAAAATTATAACCGAAGACTTCAACACCCCTTCACCTATGTACAATAGTATAGCTACATAGAAAATCAGCAACAGTATAAAATAAGAATGCTATCAACAATAGCAACTAAAAAACAAAAACATTATCAACTAAGATAAAACTGACATATGTAGAAAACCTCACCCGACAGTAAAAAAAAGTATTCTCAAGAACTCACACAACACTTACCAACATACACCATCCCCTAAACAAGTGGTTCTAAACCTTCCTGGTGCCATGACCCTTAAATACAGTTCCTCATGATATGGTGACCCCCCCCCAACCATAAAATTATTTTCCTTGTTACTTCATAACTAATTTTGTTAATGTGATGAATCGGGCAACCCATGAGAGGGCCGTTCGACCCCCAAAGGGGTTGTAATCCACAGGTTGAGAACCACTGCCCTAAACCATAAAACAAACCTCAAAAAAAAACACAAAAAAACCCTTCAACTACAATGAAATCAAACTAAAATGATTGACAAAAAAAGACAACAGGAAAATTTTCAAACATTTGGAAATAAAGGACCCTTCTAAATAATCTGCTTGAGAGGGTGTCTCACGAGCAATAAAGGTACAATGAACATAGGGAGACAAATTCACAGCACAAACGCATACATCAGAAAAGAGGTAAAGCCCTCGCATCAAGAATCTGTAACTAAAGCCAAACCGGGAGCAAATTCTGGGAGAAACTGGTTACTTGAAGAATGTGGCCGCACGACTGGAGGAAAGCTTACCGACAACCTGGGACATGCAGAAGGCGTGACCTCGATGCTGAGAGCAAGGCGGACTTGAAGCACCTGCTGGGGAAGATCAAAGACCGCAGCCTTCGGCATGGATTACAGCTCAATGTTAAAACAACCCAAATCCTCACAACTAGACACTAGGTAACATCATGATAAATGGAGAAAAGGTTGGATTTGTCAAGGATTTTGCCTTGCTTGGATACACAATGCTCATAGAAGCAGCAGTCAAGAAATCAAAAGATCTGTTGGCATTAGGTAAGTCTGCTTCACAAGACCTCTTTCAAGTCTTGAAGAACAAGGATATTACTTTGAGGACTAAGGTGTGTCTGAGCCAAGCCAACTGCCTCAAATCCATGCGAGAGTTGGCCACTGACAAGGAAACCCGAAGAAGAACGGATGCATTTGACTTGTGGTGCTGTGGATGAACACTGAAAGTACTACAGGCTGCTGAAAGGACAAACCTTTCTTCCTGTCTGGGAAGAAGTAAGGCAGAGCGCTCCACAGAGGCAAGGATGGGAAGCTTACAAACTTTGGATACATTGTCAGGAAAGACTACTGCCTTGAAAGGCATCACGTTCGAAACAGTCGAAGGGCAGCATCAAAGCAGACAGACTGACACCACGGGAGAACTGTGAGGCGTGCACAGGACGGGCACTGTTCCCTTCTACTGTGCACAGGGCCGCCATGGGTCGGAACAGACGTGACGGCACCTGACCCCCCGCCACCCCAAAGCAGGCGCACGGCAGGAATAACGAGCAGCAGGAGTCAACGGAGAGGAAAACAGAAGCAAAAGGGAAGAGGCGCTCTCATCACTGCCAACTCACCGCGACCAAGGGCAAATGCGGGTCAAGCCAAAAAGTACTGCTATAAACCGTACACCTGTGTGAAACAAATATCAAAACATGAAGCTACTGTTTCTTGACAGACCTTCCCTCTATCTAGGTCTACATACTTCTGAAAGTCTTTTTATTCCCCACAACTCAAACCCGTGCCTGAAGAATCCTGTACTCTTCCATAAACACCACACCACAATGTCTTCCAGTGATTAAATGGCTAAAATAAACTGTGGTGCACTGTTACCAGGAAATACTACTCCGCGATAAAAAGAAATAACTGGTACACTGAAAGATTTTCTGGAAGAATCTCTAGAGAATTATGCCAAATGATGAGCAACCAATCTCAAAAAAGTTTTATCTGTATGACTCATTTATATAAGTAACATTCTAGAAAGGTCAGAATGAAAGATGAGTGGTGCCAAGGGTTAGGGCTGAAGGGTGCGCGGGTGGTTCGGGTGGTGATGGAGGGGTATTTATGGTGGAAACCTTCTGCTGTGGCTGCGCCCGTGTCAACAGCCTGGCTGCAAGACTGCACTGCAGCTTTCCATGACCACTGAAGGGAAAGGATAGGGGGACGTGGGGTTTCTCTGCATCATTTATTATAGCTGCATGTAAATCTACAATTAACTCGACACATGAAGCACAGAACAACAAAGTTGGACTAAATGAACTCCACTGTGTGACTTCTAGGACAGGAAAGGAGAGAGATGCTTCAAAACACTTAAGAAGAAGATGGAGGAAGATGAAGTGAGAAACAGGGAGGGTGAGAAAACGTCAGGAAGGAGGAGGATGGAACAGGGAGGGAGAGACTGACAGGCCAT